AGAGAAAGAGTACAGATTCAGAATGAACTAGCTTGGAAGGTTCAACCAGTCACGGAATTTTGTGACAGTGGGAGCACAGGTCGTGCTTCAGTCCCAATCCGACAGTGGGTTAGGAAAACTAGTATTCCGGCGTTGAAAGTTTCTCCTGTTAACTATTTTCTTGGTTTGGAGGATGTAGGTTCTCAGTTTGCCTTAGAAGCCAGGAGAGTGATAGATGTGTCACACTCGGAGCTAGCAGAGAAAGAGAACGAGTCACGGGTTGTGACTGATGAGTTGAAGCTCAGTGGGAGCTTCAACGGGCCTTCAGGTAACTGAAGAGAAGGCCGCTGCAACTAGTGGAAAATGAGGATTACAAGAGTTACAAATGATGAAGACTAAGGGGCATTGTTCGAGCCTCCAAGTGGGAGATTGTTGGGCGAATTGAGTGTGGAGGCTCGACAAAGAAGGGCAGCCGGCCCTAGTCTTGGTTCGACCCATATGGCAGTAAATTAGGTTTTTAATTTAGCCGGCCCTAATTCTCTATGTGGGCTTGGGCCTAACTTGGGGATTAAGTTTTCAACCCTAGTTTAGTCTTCATAAATAAGGATCTCTGTAATTGTAATTCTGTGAGCACTTGAATAATAAAAACCCTAGTTGCAAAGTGGATTAGGTCAGCCGACCGAACCACTATAAATCTTGTGTTCCGTTTTTCTCCGTTTTGATTTCTGGTTTGTGTGTGTTCTTGTTTGGTTGTGGTTTGCTATTCAGTATTCATAGATACCCCAACAAACTAAGGCACCAAGTCCTACACAAGGGTAGAGCACTACCCAAAAGCCTACACTACCACCTTAATTTTAGACCGTTGGACGCTCCTATCTAAGAACATATCCTTGGTTAGCTTAAAGTCGTAAGTCATGTCTAATCACCTCGCTGCAACCCTTCTTTGGTCTACCTTAAGTTTACCACTATCCCTTCTTACATCCCATATTTCAAGCCTCTTGCACCTTCCACAGGAGAATCCATGCTCCTCTTGAGCACGTGCCTATTAAATACAACTTATGAACAAGAAAAAAACATGCACACACAAACTAGAAAATTATAAATAAAAAACAATTAAAAAGAAAAACACAGAAATTCATAAGCCATTAGAACATAAGAGATATACAAAAAGAAAAAAATGGTTTTGTTATAGAGAACAATTCCAGCAATTCAATTGCAAATTTGCAATAGGATAATAGTGGTGTAAGAGTGAGTTAAAAAAATACCTCTGCTGGAATCCTCATCAAAATCACCCTCATCGGCTACTAAAACCTGTTGTGGTTCTTTCTCAAATGAATTTTTTGGATCTACAGATTTTCTTCTGCGTCTATTGTTATGGCGTTCAAGTTTCCTTCGACAACTACGCTTACCTTCATCAAAGTCCAATAAAACATGAAACCTGCAAAAAGAATAAGAATCAAGTTTAGTTTATTGGTGTGGATTATTCGAATATTCGCTTAAGTGGAATTTAAAAAAAACATGTTGAAAGTTGTTGATACTTGATATGAGCCAAAAGTAACAGTGAAGATGATGCACTACTGAAGAGGATTCACATAGAAAGTCAACAGAAAGAGAGACTCATGGGTTTTGTGAAGTCAACATTTCTTGATAGTTATCACAAGCTGTAATTGAAATGCAAGGGATGCCATTAGAGTAAGACCCAAAAGTGTAGGAAACCCCTTTCACATAGGCACATAGCTGCAGTTATCATTTAAGCACTTTTCTGGAATGAATCTGGTCAATTTGCAAAAGCTTTGCATTAGATTTTGTCAAATTGATAGTGAGTTAATGAAAAATATCTCCATAGTGAAAGGACCAAAATCTGTACCCCCTATTTATACACGGTGAAAATTATGAAAATAGAGGTAAAAGTGCAAAACAAAAGCCTTTTACGACAACAGGTCTGCTTGCATTCAAAGGACTAAAACATCAGTGGAAAGCCGAGACTGCCTTTTGTTTAAATGATTATGTGCATCCAATTATTGCAGAGTCGCAAACACAATATGCACTAAAGTCAATGCAGTAAGTTGAACTTACAGCAGTATATGTTAGTAACATACTGTGTTACTGCATATGCATTGACCAACATTACTGGAAAGTCACAAATGCAGTATATGTTAATGCATATGCACTGGCCAACATTACTGCAGAGTCACAAATAAAGGATAAATAAGGCATGGAATAAAGGAAATGCACGGAAATGGGAGTAAATAAGTCTTAAATTTGTAAAAAAAAATTAATGTACTCCTATGTGGGTTAATAATCAATGATTTACTCCGATATTGGGTAATTTTCTCAAACAAATCCATTTCTAGCGGATCATAAGGTCTAGGTCTGATGAAAAGCTAGAATCACCTAGAGTGTCATTCTGTCACACGAAATTAATAAACATAAGCCTTAAAAGCTGCTCATTATCATAATGTTTTCAAAAAATCTATGTCAAAATTTGAACTTAAAACTTTTATCTTCTAGGTTGAACATAATCACTTAATAAAAATACTCGTACTAACCAAGCAATGTTAATAATATGCATATATAATAATGTAAGCATGATATATGCATCAACTGAGTATGCATACATAACAATGACATTCGTAAGAATGTGTCTAACATATGTTTGGAGGCTGAAGTTACACCTTAGCAAAATAGTAATAGATTAAGAGACTCGAATCAAGAACGAAAATGAAGGGAATGAATGAAAACCAGCATACTTGCCACACTGCTGGCAATATCTCTTGCTCTCCCCATCAAGAACCACCGATTTTGCGTTGGCACAGCGCAGGCAAACCCGATGTCTCTTATGATAGCCTTTGAGCTCACTAATATCGGCCTCACAGCCAGGTACTTGACATAGAGCAGTGGACAGTCCTGCAGCAGAAGCTCTGGACGTGCGGGCCTTCTTCTTCCCTGCAGACCCAAGAGTAGCGAGCTCTTCCTCCTCCAGCTGCTCATCTATCTCTGGGCAGGCACAGGGGATCCGTCCAGCCAGAAAGTTGGAGCAAACCATCCTGGGGTCTCTCTTCCTGACCCGACTCAAAGCGGAATCCCCACCACCAGAAGTCGTAGTCGGCACATCCAGAGATGGTAGATCCGATTGCTGATCCTGGTCGGAATAGAACGAGATATTGAGCTGATCGTCGAGGCTGAACTCCAGGAAGTCAGACCAATCAAAGATCGAGGGGGCTGCCGGGTCTTCGGAAAGATGGGCAATGTCAGACGACATCTCGGTATTTCCCAATTGCGCCGGCGGGGATTCAATAGGCGGCGGCTGGTGAGCCTGATTTTCCATGACCTCCGAAATACTTGTTGAGTCCTGAAAATCTGGCAGAAGACGAAAGGGTATGGCGAGAAGGAAATGAGAGAGAAAAGGGGTCGTGGCGTAGTCGCGTAGAAGGAGGGTGGTGAGATATTGGAGTCAGTGGTTGTTGGGGTGGTGGCGTTTGGTGGTGACTGACAGGGAGACGAGAAAATCTGGGAGGCTACATGTTCGTGTGGCAAATGAAGGTAGGGGATGACAAAAAAAAGAGTATCAATTTTAATATTGTTGTAAATTAAGGGAGGTGTATTCAATTAGGATTTTATAGGATTTTTTTAGATTTAAAAAAGTTAGTGGATTTGAAAAATTTGTAGAATCTATGTAGAATTTGGTTGATTTTTTGTAGAATTCATGTAGAGTTAGAAAAATTTGTCTGTATAGAGTTTGAAAAATATATAGATTTTGCAACAGTAATGTTGCTCCTATTTCTCCACGCCAATCGGATCTGCAGCAGAAAAGCAGAGGAGGATCCACGCCAATCGGATCTGCAACAGTAATGTTGCTCCAAGACCTGCTTTGCAGAATTGCAATTTGGAAGGCGCCAAACTCTGCCGCAAACACCCGGGGTCCGAGGTGGAGGATCCCCGATCACCGTCAGAGCTGCACCGGCCGTCCAAGACGAGGTCGGAGGGACGGTCCAAGATGAATCGGCGGTAGACGGCGGCGCAGAAGAGGAGGAAGAGTAAAACCGGAAGAGATGCCTCCAGTGGCTATTTGGCAGCCATGTTTTGAGCTTTTTGTGGATAACGATGATGATGATTGGGGAGAGTACAGCAAGGGGATGGAACGCAGGGATGGAAGTACAGCAAGGGGATGGAAGTGCAGGAGGGAACGCATGCCTGATGTGAATGAAATCCAAAGAAATCTAGTAGTGTGAGTAGAGATTTTAATGAGTGAAAATATAAGCATTTTTTGAGAAAAAATCCAACAAAATCCATGGATTATTAAAATTCATAAACTATTGAATACTTCAAAATTTGTAAAGACTTTTGAAAATCTAAGTTGAATACTTTAATATTTTTAAAGACTTTGGAAAATCATTATTGAATACCTCAAGATTTTTAAAGACTTTTGAAAATCCAAATTGAATACACTCAGATTTTAAAAATCCAAAAAAATCCTACAGACTCCAGATTCAATACACCCCCCTAAGTACTTTATTTATCGTACCCTCCTGTTTCTCCAAGATTTGTTCTCCTTCACTTTATCCAGGTAATTCTTCTCTCTAATTCTCTTATGTATCTTGTCCCTGCGTCTCTTCCTCTAATTATCCATCCTTGTTTTCCCAGCTTTTCCTTCTTTCTTTTTTTTCAATAAAATGCATTTTATTAAATAATCAAAGAATACAAACGTCTGAACAAGCGGGAACAGGCTCCTCACTTGTATAAAAAGTAAGCAACAACCAAAAAACTATAATGTGAAGCGCTTATCGGATATTGAAAGATAGACTTAAGTGCAATTACAAAGCCGGCTCAAAACATTCCACTTAGATCTAGGAATAAAATCATTCCCGGAGCCTCAACCCCCGCAAGGGTAAGGCCTAAGGTCAGATAATCCGATCAAGAAAAAATGTTCTAAGCCAAGAAATGCAATCGACATAAGTCCAGTCTAAAATCCAAAAAGCCCAACTAAAGAATGAATAAAATAATATGTGCAAAAATAATCCAAGTGAGCCAAGTAGAGCCCAAAACTGGAAAAGCCCAAAGCATGAAGGAAGGCATGTGTGCTAGCCCAAATTCGCATCTGAAACCCGACCTGAGGAGGCCCAAACCATTAGCCCAAATCATCAGGCCCAAACAGAAACCCAATCATCCAATCAGCCCAAGCCCAGCACCAGGCCGTCCAACCATCAGCGACCAGCCCAAGTGATCGGTTCAATCTGCCAAGATGAGCAGCCCATCCGTGAAGCCCGAAGCCCAACGCCAATGCCACGGCCCAACTAGAAGTCTCAACCCAACCAAATCCAAGTAGTCCAGTTGTGTAGAAATCCAAGAAAGTCCAAAATCCAAGAAAATAACCAGTGAAGCAGTCTCAAGAAAGTTCAAATCCACAATGATGAAGATGAAAGTGAAGAGATTCCAAGAGAGGAAATCCCAATTGTTTACCTAATTTGGTTATCCTTAATCATGTGCTCACTTCCTTTATTGTTTACCTAGAGAGTATAATTTTTCTTTGCTGCAATCTGTGGTTTTTATGCACTTCAATTTCAGATCACCAAATACGCATTATTTATACATACATGTGAAAAGATAAAGTCTAATAAATAAAGAAACAAGATCTTTTAATTTATAAGAGTAATATATCTGTCATATTTAACACTCTTCTCAGATATGTCATCGTTCATTATACACTAACAATACTATACTACTGGATAATATTGACTAGGTTATTCGGGGCCTATATTAACTGATACTGCAGGATCAGTTGTGCTGCCTCACTAAACACAATACTAAGAAAATCTAGTGGGACAAAATTTAGTTAAGAGAAAAAGAGTACAACGTGTATAATATTTTCCTTCAAAATAAAAATTATACTCCCGCAAGACAATCAATGTCTTTCAGTTTATGAAGTTTAGTCTTTAAAGTGAGTTGCTCCAGACTCTTTCTTGATAATGATTTGAAAGCAGGTCCACCGTGTTTTGGCTTTCTGGTGAATATCAATCTCCCTCTCCTACTAGAGATCATATGTCGTCGATGAGAGCTTTCGGGAGATGTGCTTCATTCTATTTCTCTCGATATAGCTTTCTCGAATCTGAGTAGTTGCCAGTTACATTGTCTCGATAGATAATATTTGAACCCTTGATTTTGTTCCAAAACTTCATGCTCCTTATATGTTGTTGATCACCAATCCCTACTGTGCTTGTTCTCGATCAGTGTCATATATATAATTCTAACAATTTGGCTTGATGTGATGTTGTTGGTTGCGTTTGCAGTCGACTTCCAAGAAAATATTGTATCGCCATATGTGAAAATGTAACCTGTCTAATATCACACTAAATTTGATATTTCTCGACCAAGTACTTTGTTGTCATATTCTTGTGAGAAATTAGGATTTTATGTATAAATATGAGCGAACAATCATGTGGTGTGTTCAACAGATGTATTTTGCCCATATTTGAAATGTGTTAACATCTACTAGATGTAATTTATCTAGTAGACAAATGTACTTATATAGATGTAAGATGTAAGTCGATACATATTTTCGTCATGCCAAGATCTTTCATCTCAAAATCTCTCTCAAAGAGTTCAACAGTTTTTCTTATCTTTTCGGAAGATCTAATTATGTTTATAAGTTGTCGTAAACTATTATAATAGTGAATCTTGAGAGTGATTCTTTTGATGAAAAATACTTGGGCTGATTTCAAATATATATCTACTTCGAGATACTCACTAAGTTGATTGTACCACAAATGACCAGATTACTTGAAATCATATAAAATCCTCTTATTTTGAATCATTCTGTGATTATTACACACATATTTATTAAAGTACTTACTTTATTGCTTCCAGCATTTTGAATCATTTAGTGATTATTTTCATACAAATATTAATTTCGAGTGTCCCTTATAAATATGTTGTGACGACATCCATACCTTTCGTTTGAAGTCATTTTGAGACTGTAAGGCCAATTAAAATTCTAAAAGGTTATCGCATCCACTAACGAGGAATACGTTTCCTCACAATAAACTCTTGGGATTTAGGAAAATCCTTGCATTACAAGTCATGCCTTATACCGCACAGTCTCATTCATCTTATTTTTGCTTATCGCAGATACCCATTTATAATCTATTGGTTTGACGTCTATGGGTGTTCGAACTACAGGTTCAAAAATATTTTGTTTGTTAAAATCGACCTTCAGAGTCTCTTGCCATTTTAACCAATCATGTATGTATTGTGTACATGTATGTGTTCTTCTTTGAGTTTTAGGTATGTAATCTCTTTTATTGATTACATCATTTGCTATATCATATGCAAAAATATTACTGTAACAACCGAACTCGCGTAACCCAAACCAAGGAGTTAACGAACCAGGTTGCTACTAAATTGGTATTCACGGCATAACAATTTAAACAAATTATTCAAAAACATCCTAACACCAATTTAAATACGAAACTTTCGGAATAAAGTCCAACATATGCGGAAGCCTTAAAATAATGTTCCACAATCTGGTCTGATGTCATCTGATTTTAATAAGAAAAAGTAATAAGCCGAAAAAATAAGTTAAACAGAACGCTGCCTTAGAGATAGTTTTCACAAACGTGGTTAGGATTGTCTATGTATAAATAAGTTTGGTATCAAATTTGGTGTCACACATGTGTGACTTTCACTTGGTCCAAATCTATTCTCGAATTCACTCAAGATATTATTCTCTCTATTGGACCGAGTGTATTGTCTCCCATCCATCCCCGCGTGATCCGCCGTGGCACTGCCACGACTCTGCGTGATCACGTGAAGCACTCCCCCATTTGTGTGAGCAGCTCTGTGGCCACGACCACGCTATGTTTTTTGGTTTCCCCAACTCTTATCTAAAAAAATTCCCCCTCCTCCCCGAACAGTTCTCTAAAAAGATATTTTTTTATAAAATCAAATTTCAAATTTCAAATTTCAAACCCCCCTTTCCCCATCTTCTTCTCTCTTCCATTTAACCCATTAAGAGCCTCTTCTTTAGGGCAAACTCTTAACTTTCAGTTTCTTTCAATTCCTTCCAGTTTCTTCCAACTATTCTCACTTTCTTCAAACTCTTTCTACTATCAAACTAATTACTCTAAAAACGATATATTTTTAATGTGATTGTTGTTGTTGTTATTATTATTCATACAATTGTTATGTTCATAACTATAGTTTATAAATTATTTTTTTCATCTCACTATTTTTACGATTCACACTCATTATTTTTTCTTCAACTTTTTAATATGAATAAGACAATTTTTTGTATATTAATCTACAAGATAAAATAGGAAAACATCAATATTTTAAACTATATTAAAAAATTATGGATAAAATAGTTACATAGAATGTTTTATTAATATAACTTTATATAAGACCCATCACCTTTCCCTTTATTACTTAAATTTTTCTTATTTCTCTAATTTTAATAAAAAAAATTGAAAGTCAAAATAGTTTAGAGAAAAAGAATAAAATAGGAGTAAAACATAAAATATGTGAAAAAAAGTTATATGTCTTTATTCCAAAAATAGGAGTTACAATGAAAATGAAATGTCAATCTTGAAAGAAATAATATGTTTGATTACATTATGTGACATGTCTGATATTTAAACAAAATCTTGTAATATATAAAGTATAATTACAAATATATTATTTATAATAAATACTACATAAATAAATTGAGGTGCAACATAATCACCATAATTTTTTAAAATTTAACATTTTGATATTTATGCTAACTTTATATTATAAATTTTTTTGCAAAAGTAGTTTTTTGTGTATAAAAATAATCATATTTTTTTTATCTTAAATGCATTCGTTAAGATAATGTGATGATGATGATGATGATGATAATAATAATAATAATGATAATGATAATAATAATAATAATAATAATAACAATAATAATAATAATTTATAACAACAAGAATTAGAATGAGAACAATATAAAAATACACTAAAATAATTTTTTTAAAGTTTTTTTGGTTTTCCAATATTTTGAAGTATTTCGAGTTTCTTCTAGTTTTTTCCAGTTCTTCCAGTTTCTTCCAGTTTTTTCGAGTTCCTTCCCGTTTCTTCCAACATCAAGCTATTTTTTTCTAGTCCTAAAGAACAGACTCTAAATCTCTATATTTTTATATATCTCTTCCCTCTTCAAATT